GGGCGGAGGTCTGAGGTGCGCGGCGGGGAGCGCCGGCTGCCCTCTCATTCGGCACGAACCACTCTGCTGGCCCCGAACGCTTGCGGTAGGCATCGCGCTGAGCCCTGGCCCCATGAAAGGACAGCCAGAGCTGCAGGCCAGACCGCTGCCCCACTGCGGTTGCAGACGACCAAGGTAGAACGCGGACTCTTCGCTGTCTGCACGGCGATGAGCCCGCCGCCACCTTTCCGAAACGGTCGGCTCGCCGCAGCGCGCACGTGATTGCGCTGTGACCGCTCCTGTCGCCACACGGGGCGCGCCAGCGGCAACCGGAGCTGACAGGCCATCAATGCGCGACGCTGCTGCACCGGCCAGCTGCGCAGAGCTGTCAAAGGGGCGAGCGGGGGCGTCATCCCGCCACGCACCTTGGCCACGATGACGCGCGCCTTGAGCTTGGGGTCCGACTCGACCAGCTGCCCGAGCTTCTTGTAATCCTCCGTCATGCGCTTGCAGTGGCCGCACCTGTCGCGCACGCCGATTTGTGTTTCCAAAGGTCGCGGGTGCGCGGGCCCATTCATGCTGGTGGGCATGCAGCCGCCAGGGGTGGGTGCTGCGATGGGCATGCGCGCGCGCCACGGCGGCATGCTGCCCCGAGAGGGTGCGCGGGACGCACCAGGGAGCATAGAACTCGACGAGCGCGTGCTTGCCGCCATTGACGATTGAGTCGAAGGTGTCAGGGGCTGCAGCGCAGGGAAAGATCGATTGACCGCAGCCATGGCAACGCCCTGTGTAAGCGCTGTCATGGCTATCCCACCGCTAGTCAGACGGCCATGTCAGTCTCGCTAATGGGGCGCACGCCAGTGACTGGCGCCGATATGGGTGGTACAGCTGCGGTGCTGCATCCAGCACGCACCACTGACGACGCGCCACCAAGTGGCGACTGACACTTCCCGACTGTCCTCGTCGGCATGCATGGGCCGTGATCACGGCTGTTAGCTACTTTTTACACTTATAATTTTGCACTGAGGCAACTTCGCGCGGTTGCAAGCAACAGGGGCACGGTGTCCCGATGGAGGTGCACCCCCAACCCACTCACTGAGATCGTGCACGCCCTTCAGGCTGACAGTAGGATCATCAGAGGCGTGGCAAGCAACCACGCCCAGCGCCAGAACCACCAGCGCTACAAGCTGTCCGCGCGACATGCCTGTGCGTTGTGTGATCACGGGGAAATGCACAAGCGAAGATGCTATGACAGCAGCCAGACGTGTGTCAAATCATGGAGCCAAGGCCGCGCTAACAAGGCAGACCAGGCGTCGGCTGCAGAGTTTCCTCCTTCCGGGCTCTTCGCGCCGCCAACCGACACGATTACTACGCTTTTGGCAGGCTGCACCTGCACCTGGGTATCCAATGCTGTTTTGGCTTTATGACAGCAGGAAGGCATTGCAACAGGTGCTGCCACACTCGCGTGTATGCCGCCAGGTGACGAACCAGCTGTGTCATGGCGTCGACCTCATGACTCCGCTGCGCTCTGCTGGCTTCGCCTTGCATGTGCTCCAAGCCTTGCCTCAAGCTACCAGAAGCCCTTGCATTTGAGCCTAAAGTGACTTGTCGCAATTGCACACGCAATTCCACTAGCTAAGCTGGATCGAAAGAAACGCGCCCATGACCCCAGGCAACCAGCCGGCCAGGCAGGTGTCGTGACGCCGGGCACCTTGCCCCACTACTGCTGGGTTCGACTATTAGACGATCAGGCGTCAACTTGCAACAGGGGTTTTACAGATGTGCCGGCGCTCAACCTATGGGCCGGCGCAGAGCCTGGGGGGCTGTGCGACGGCTGCAGGGCCATGCATCATCATTTGCTGCTGCCATCGCTGCCATTCTCGGCCCTGCTCAGCAGCAGGATGGGCTCCGAGCGCCTGCGGCAGCTGCCCAGCTGGCTGGTTCTGCTGTTGCCGCCATTGCTGCAGCCACCGCTGCTGGCCGCCTCTCGCCATCTCTTCCTGCATCCGCTGCACCACTGCAACCACCGCCCCCCGGTTGCTCTGCAGCCGCCACGTCGCGTCGGCTGTAGCAGCCTCCGCCGCCCTCTTAGCTTCTAACAGCTCGTCCCTCAGCCTCTCCATGGATGCCACTCGATGCTCTAGCCGCTCATTGTGCGACTTCGGCGGCGGCTGCTTGAGCTGCTGCCTGCTCGACAGCACGCCCCGCTGTGGCGGGGCAGTCGAATCCCCAAGGGCGGCCGAAAGCGCCGCGTTCTGAGTCATGAGAACTTCCAATTCAGCGGCCAGCTGCATGTATTGCATTTGATATTCCTGCGGCATGCCCATGCTCTCTGGCCCTGGGCTGCGCGACAGCGCCATGTCGTTGCCATTGAAGTGCTGCATCTGCAATTGTGCAGACGGACAGTGACAGCGTGGAGATTGCCCTAAAAGGCTAATAATTGCGGTTGTTTCTTTTGCAGTTGTCTACACTACGGACCCAAGGGCCTGCGGCGTGTGTCGTCGTAGAGTATCTTGTCCGACGGTTTTGCGGAAGGCGAAAGGCAAGTAAGTCTGCGTTAACTGGGAACACTCCCAATAAACTGCCTTTGCTACGTTTTAAGGTCAGGTACGCAAGACAAACCCAGGTGCTACGGGTTCAAGCAGCTGCCAGCGGCCTCCCCACACATGAAATTGCACACTTTGCACTGCTGAGAGGTGCTGTTCACCAGTGCAAAATATATCAAATTCAACACATGCACAACGCCGCAATAATAAGAGTTGTTGCATGTGTTCGCACTGGTGGGCCCATCTTTGTAGGCTGCTGCGAGGTGTGCCTGGAGGGCGCATGCGTCGTGTGTTGATTAGCCTGCACCGTTCACCGCCGTTCAGCGCGGCGCATCAGATTCTGCCGCTTTAATATGTACAGCGTGCGCGTGCAGCTGCTTAGTTAAGCCGCGCGCCCGCAGTTGCGGTGTGCAGCGGCTCCCTGTCACCGCGGATTGTCGAGTAGTCGTGCTCCACTACGTGCCACAAGACCTCGGCAGTGAGTCGCCGCCCCTTGACCTGCATAACAATGAGTGTGTTGGCCATGACAGGGGCTGGTGAGGTCTAAGATGCAGGGGCGAGGGACAAGGATAGACGTATGCGTCTGCAAACGGAGCTCCATGCTTACATGGCTGGCTCCTGGTGACAGGGGCGTCGTGGACACGCGACGCTGAGCGGCTCGCGCAGCCTGTCGGCCCCGGACACAGCCACCGATCACAAACCTTCTCTGTCCAACGCTGAGCCTCGTCCGATAGCGCCCGCACCGCCGCCTCCCCCAGCGGCGCGCCAGCCGGGCCCACGAGGCGCCACAGCGACGAGTGGACGATGACGGGCTGCTTTGAGGAGGCGCCGGGGAAGTTGGCGCGCAGCTGCCGCCGCAGCTCGGTGACTGAGCCCAGGGGGTCGGCCCAGGTCAGCAGGAGCGTTCCACTCTTGGCGAGGACAACGCTGTGGAGCTGGTAGGCATCCGGGGCGGGG